CTCTTTCTCTCTCTACTTTCTCTCTCTAGCCTCCCTTAAGCCCCCTAAAGTCTAGGTAAACCCCCTAGCACCCGAAAGAAGCCCCGAGGCTCCCGAAGCCCCGATAAAAGACCCTTTCGGCTCGGGAACGCTGCTCCAGCGAAGCCCGGTTTTCGAGAAAACCCGCTGTAAGTGAGCTACGCCTAACCTAGCTTTAGTATAGCTTATGTTTCAATATAGTAATGTTATTAGGAACTTATAATGAGTATTTGGGCTATTATTATGAGTTATATAAGTTTCTTTATAATATCTTTTTAACCACTCGCGGTACGGGGAATCCGGTTTGAAAGGTCGCCTGGGTTGTTGGATTTCAGAAGTGCTATATGCCAAAATGATCCTGCCCTCCGGTGTTTCATGTCTGGCCCCTGTCTGTACATAGTGGGTGAAGAGTATTGTTTTAACGCTTATATAATAGTAATAATAGCAAGACTATTAATTAGTCTCGTTGAACATTAGACTAAACTCTAGTGGTAATGATACTAGGTTTTGTCAAAGGAAAATTGTTTTAAGAGTAACGAAGTGTTGTCCGAGTGCCGAGTCACCACCTTTACAGGTGAGTGCATAGTTACTTTCATCTTACACATAGATATGAAATATTTAATATAAATTACATGCTATGTGTGCATATTGTCTGTATACTTTTCGTCTATGCTGGGTGAAAGATTTTTATACATGTTTTAAATTATTTAAACTGTATATGTATTTTATATCTACAAAATGTGTTGGGTAAAACATGGGTAGATGAAATAGTTATTGTGTGACAAAAAAACCAAAATGATGAGAGGTGATATAGACCATGAGATAAGGGTGAGAGGTGAACCATGAGAGAAGCCTTTTACCCAAGTGTTGGCCCCTTCATCTAGCAGAGTATGGATGACAACCACAGACTATTCTAGACAGTCCAGCGGAACACTAGCAGGCTCACAACCTGTAGGTGTTATTTTAACTGTGTATTCACCAGTTGTACTCTAAAAACCCATTGACATGTATTGCGAGTGGATTCTCGGAAACGATAATGTCAAAAAACGAGATAAAAAGCCATTGACATGTATTGCGAGTGGATTCTCGGAAACGATACTGTCGATAAACGAGATAACCCTGGCAGCTATGGATTTGGTGCCTGATGAGCAAACCCTGGCAACTATGGATTTAGTGCCTATTGAGTAAACCCTGGCAACGATGGATTACGTGTCTATTCCTTAGGATAATCCTTAGGAAAGAATGAACGAGGAATAGCTAATTCTTAGGGTAAATCCTTAAGAGTAAAGAAGATAATGGGGATGGGTAATTGGGTTAATTGTTTGATGATTAAACATAATAATCATATTATTGTGGGTTGAAAACCCTATGTACTCACCAGGTTTCCCAACCTGACCCACCCAGTTTATTTATATCACATGTGTTGATATGAAGTCACATTACACTGAGAGATTAAGGAGATATAAATCACTAGTGATAATGAATGTAAGTTCTGTTTATGCTTATGTTTCTGTATTGACGATGACATCCCAAATGTTTTAAAATGAATAAAAATACTTTTCTTCGGAAATGCCTTAATAACGTATTTATCATGTTTTACTGGGAACAAATTCTGCAACATTTTTATTAAAAGAGGTACTCTGATTTTTATAAAGCATAAACAAAATCGGTCTTTTATGGCCGTGAAAATGGGGATGTCACAGACAATAAGCATGACTATGTTCCATGTGTTTGACCGCATAGATATCTTGGGAACAGAGGAATATATGATCCCTTATCTGAAGGACGTGTCACTGACTAGGTCAGAGTTCGACAGCGGCTGTTGAAAGCTTACGATTGCTAAGTCGGATCCTGAAGTCACATTGGCAGTTATAGTTGTTAGACTTATCCAAGTGGGAGACTGTTGGATTTGGTGTCTAAGCTCATAACTATAACTGGGATGTACTTGACCCGATTGTAGCATGATCCTTTTAGGTTGCCTTCACCAGTGCAACTTGATAGGATGGACTTTTGAGAATAAGGTTATTTATGATTTATTAGTATATTACAAGAATAATATATTAATATGAAATCATGTTATTATTTAATTATTATTGATCAAGAATTAATTTGGAATTAATTTTGTGGTCAAAAGAGACTAATTAAATATATGGGGATTGATTATGTAAATCAATGATTCTTATATTGTGGGCCAATGATCCATAATTATGTAGATGGTCTAAACTAATCTATGGATAGTCCATGGAGGTTAAACCCATGGAGCATAAGAATATGAAGGGTCATGGAGCATTAGGGTTTACATGAATGTAACCCTAGCTTAATAACACTATAAAAGCACACCCCTAGGAGCCAAAATCGGTTACAAGAGACATTCTAAAGAGTGTGGAGTTGATTTTGTGCTAGTAACCTATTCTCTCAATCCTCCTCTTTCATATTGGTGTTTGTGAACCATTAGAGGCATCACACTTGGGGTGCTCAAGCTTTCAAGGGTCAAGAACTGCAAGTCCTTCTAAAAGGTAAGTCATCTAACTAGTTGTATCATTCAATTGTTCAAATGTATGCTAGTTAGGACAATGCTTTGGAAAAATGAAAATATACATGTATAATTAGAGAAAACATAGATCCAAAGCATTTAGGGTTGCATGTGTACCATAGGAGTGTTATAGTGCTCAAAACCCAACAAAAACTACATGCTGATCACCAGCGCCAGCATCAACACTAACACCAATGCCAGCACAAGATCTTATCAGCGTCAGCGTGAACCATTGATCTTGGTGATCTTATGTATATTAAGCAGTTATATATATATATATATATATATTATATATATATATATATATATATATCGGATCCTTAATCTTAGTGATTAGGATCATACATTTACTTAGATAGGTATACATCCCTTAATTAGTGGGATATCGGTTATTGTAATCTTATATAATCAACATTAGGGTGAACCCTAATGTAAGTCTTGGTGACCGTCTCGTTCTCTTACTGAGAACATTCTTTCTTAGTGAAAGCATCTTTGTGATTACTTGTGTTCTTTCGTTTGTCTGTTTAATCTTTGCTTAGTTTGTTTATTCATTGCTATTCATACTTGAGTATATCAGGTCGATACAAACCTTGAAGAAAGATCATTGATCAAGAGATTGATCACGATTGAGAAAGATCATTGATCGAGAGATTGATAACGATTTATTCTCTTTTTTCAGTTTTCTCAGTTATAACATCAAAAAGAAAAATTTTCTAATGAGGCAGTGGCAAACCAAACGAAGCATATTAACAAACATGAATTCTTTATACACGATACTAAGCAAAAGGAAAAAGAACAAACAACAGAGAGAAGGATAAAACCTGAGTTCGACTCGTTTGGATTTTGGAACATGAATCCATGATGGAGTGTGAAGCAGCATACATGGGATAACATGCGATTACTCTTTATTTTTAATAGGGTTGAAGGGTAAATCTGCCAAAATAAAAGATAAGTTTAAGGATGTGATTTTTTTCTCTACAAATTTCTCCAATTTGAAAGGAAGATTATCCCCCAAGATCATTTCTCTTCTTCCAAATTCCTTCAAAAAAACAAATTATAGGGAACACTTAGCAATCTTTTTTTTTTCTCCCAGTTTCTTTCCACTTTCTTTCATTTCCCTCCTTAAATGGAACTCGGGAACAAAGTGTTAAGAAATGGTTAATCCTCATTATCTCACTAATTTAGATTTTTTTTAATAAATATTAAGAAATGGTATATTGTACTGTACAAATACTAAAGCACAAAAAAAAAAATAAATAAATATGTTACGGTGAGTTTGTATCTCGTGGTGGAGGTCACTACACCAGACGGTGTAGTTCCACCTCACCCCACCGCCACGATCGGCCTTACTTTGTTTATAACTAAGTTGGGCCTTAGGCCTCAATTCTAAAGGCCCAAATCTAAAGGGCCCATTTAACCCAAGATATTTGAATATTTCAACGATTCTTCCTTCTCCTTTTGTAGTTACGCACCCCACAAATATCATCAGTCAAAATTGAAAGTTTCAATTCTTACAAGTGAGCGAGTGTTCTTTATCATTTCTCGATTTTTGAAAACGGAGTCTAAAAAATACCTTATGTTATTCGCTTCTTATCTTCCTTCTCCATTCTCTGATTGATTGTCCGTTCTCTGAAAAATACCTTCGGCTTCTCAGTCTGATTCTTTCTCTGTCCCCTAATTCTCGATTGTTGATTGTTCAAACTTCAAAAGACTCAAAACTTTAAGGTTGTTAAGAAGACAAGAACTGAAACGGTATGTGCAGTGTTTCCATTTTCCAGTTTTGAGTAATTGAGTTTTCCATTATATGATTATCTATTTAGGTAAATAGTCGATTTTAGGGTTATTTTTTTATAAAAATTATCTATTGTGCATTGATTACAGAATATAGAATCGGTGTTGGAACGGATTTGAGCTTTCCATTATCTTCTATTTTTAAGGTTGTCATTGTCAAGAACTCACTGTGAGAGGTACTTCCAGTTTACTTTTTCCTGTCTGCTTTTAGTAAATAAAAAAAACTATATTAATGTTCTGGAAATTAAAATAAAAGTTAAAGCCATAAATTTGTGTGCGAATGAAATTGAAGGTTAAGGGGGCAGAATAGTAGAATACGATTTGTCTCCCCAACGTGTGCAAGGGCTTCAATTTCAATTATTTTGTTTGTATAGATAAATATTATTATCTAAATTGAAATTTGTATATATAATACAAGCCTACAAGGTATATATGTTAAGGTTTTGATTTGTTAGTGTGACAGCAAAAACAAAAAGGTTATTGAAGAAACACCTTTTTTTTGTTTGTGGGATATATTTCATTATGTTTATCAAAGTTGCTACATGCATATTACGTGTAACGAATGTATATAAACACAAGATAAAGTTTATAGACTAAAACAGTAAGTTGCTATAACTCTAGGGACCAAGTTTGTAATTAGTCTCTTTGCGTTTTAATTAGCGCAAACACACAATCACCGTCGCTCCAATCGGAGGAAAATGCCGCGCGACAAACACCAGCCACCAGCGGTACGCGTCTATACAGTTTGCGACGAATCCAAGTTCGTATTCAAATTCAATTACTCGATTCTACTAAATATAGGTTTAATTTGTTGTATTTGATTATGTGAGTGAGCCCTAAAACAACTCAATTTCGGATTTGTGATTTTGATATAGGTATTTAATCGTGAGGAATGTTCCGGAATTAGGGTGTGGTGATGAATTACGGAAATTGTTCGAAGGATACGGTGAAATTGATGAGTAAGTTATCTTTTTCCCTCTTTCGAATGTCATGATGTTAATTGTTGTTTTTTATTTCTTTTATGGATTCCAATCGACTTCTTGTTTCACTTTTGTAGATTCATACCATTGGACGATGAAGATTGCGAGCCATTTACTGATGTTTACTGGATTAAGTTTCATCAGGTCAACAATGCTAGGTGCTTCAAACAATTTGACATCTTATTTCACTGAAATCGATAATTCATCTATGGAACATTAGGATCCTTGATCTTTATGTAGATTTGCGAAAAGGAAGTTGGATGAATCAGTTTTTATTGGGAATCGGATTCAAGTCTCATATGCACCAAAGTATGAGAGCCTTAGTGACACAAAAGAGAAGTTGGAAGGTAGAAGAAAAGAAGTTGTAGCTAGAGTTAATCGTAAGTGTTGTATAATATCATTTTATATTTATAAAGAATTTGTTTTCTAGATAGATTAAATACCTGTATAGTTTGTTTTTGTTGTTTTTTTCAGCTAAATTCATATCAAAGCCATTAAATATCCAACACAGGTTTGAATCTAAATTCTTATTGTTTTATCCTATTTCTATAGGCAAATCTTGATTATATGTTCTTGTTTTAGGGACCCACATACTGTTCACAGTCAAACTCTTCCCTCAACAGTTTCGTCTAATCAGGTTCAAACATTTTTATATTATTTAATTTTTATTTTTATTTTATCAGTTGCTTACAAAACAAAACAAATACCTACAAAAAAAGGGGGAAATTTTGTCGTTTATCATATATACATTTCAAATCCTTTGACATTATGGTAACTCATAATTTGTGAAATATGATATCAGGATTATTTTCCATTAGAGTCGATGAATCAGACTGTTCGATTGGTCAGGGAAAAGCTTAACAAGGTGAGTAAATAATTTACTAATTTTCTCTCCATTTATCAGATGAAGTTTTTTATAATTTTATTTATTTTTCTCGTGTTTAGATTGAATCGGATACAGAGACTTTAAAAGCCATGTCTTCAAAGAAACCACGAATTGACAATAGAAGAAGAATTTGATAGCCATTACCTCTTTTCATCAAATTCTTCGTTGATGAAAATGAGAAGGGCATTCACGTCTTTTTGCACATACATGAGATTGAAAACGAGTTCCACTTTTTTGGGTGGGACAAAAAAGTTGCAAATTTTGTCCCGGTGATATTAGCCTCAGTTCTGTCAGACATACAGTACAACCTCTTCTGTCATATCTTCTCATGCATAACAGACGGTTGTGTATTCTTTTGTGAACATGGTTCAAGGCGACTTAGAATTTTCTTTGAAGGAAAAAAGTTAATTTTTGAAAGAAGTGCATGTACCATTTTACCCCTAATTTGTATGCTTATGAAATTGGGGTTTGGTTAGTAATGAATTATGATTATAGCCTAATAGCAAGGTCAAATAGTTCTAAGATTTTGGTTAAATGGGATACGTCATGCATCAAGGAAAAGTTATATGTGATTTGTTATGGTTTCCTTTGTTATATATAGGCAGTTCACTAGGTGATTTTTTTGCGTAGTAATAAAATTATGTAGTTAAAACATTAATAGATATACTTTATTATAAAAACATTTTTAGTTTATTTGATATCCAATGACAGATTTAAATTAATACATATATTGAAAAATTGAAAAAGTAGTATTAAAATTAAATTAATAAAACTGTTTAATTCTTTTACAAAAAAGTAAATTAATATAATTAAAAATATCTATTTATCTTGATTCACATAAGAAACTAGACATTCGCTGTAAAAGATTGTGGATGATTTATATTTATATTGATAAATAATATAAAATATAAATATGTAAATGTTTCACTACATTTTATTTTTAAAATAGTTGAATAGTTTTTTTATTAAGTTAAGATCCCACCTGTAATATTCAAAAATTTTGTATTAAGTTTCAAAGATAAACAATTCAAATTAACCAACTAAAAACAGTATCTGATAGTAGTTTATCAATATTAGCTTTATGATTTTTTTTGAAAAAAAAAATGAAAAAGAACTATAAAATGTAACAAAAATATATAAATAAATAAAAATAAACATTTTTCATATATTACGAATATCTATAGAGTATAGACTATATTAATCTTTTGAATAGCAAATTGCATAACAAATGGTGAGTTTTACTTAAATCCACGTATTTTTTCTTTTTAAAGTTTAAAATTTATTATTAATTTGTAATAAAAAAAAATAGTATCTAGTAATCAAAAAGTGTACATCAAGTTGTTGGAGTCAACAAAATAAAAATATTTAAATTAATATATGATAAACCTTAAAAGATTATTATTTATCTTAAATTATTTTAGTTAATTAAATGACTTCTTTTAGAAGATATAATAAATATATATGGTTATAACTTTTGTTACTACAACTTCCTTTAATTATCTCATTATTTTCACCATTAGGAGATATTTCGTCATACAAAAACAAAGCTCTTTTCTAGTTTATCGTATCATAAATGCGCATAGAGCTTTCAATTTGAACCAAACAATTTTTTGTTTATCTTTTCTTTAAATTCATTGATGCCATTTCTTCATGTTGGATCATTTTTAAAAATAGAGTGATGCTGCTGCAGGAAGGTTTCTTTTATGTGATTGATGGTTTTATTCACAATTTCTTCCTTGCATTTCATGGGTGGATTAGGAGAAAGAATAAGTTCTTTTTCCCATTAAATGCCAAATGGATTAAATGATCTAAAGATAAATAATGTTTGAAAATTATAAAAAAAGATAATACTACTATATTTGGGAAAATAGAAAATAATAATAATAATAATAATTATTGAGAGCGAATTTGTAAGATACGGGCCAGTTAGTTTGGATGAAAGTGAATCATAAAAAAATATAATGAACAACATAAATATGTAATGAATGAATTTAGTTATTATATTTCACGATAATATTTGGTTGGGTCTATAACAATAAAATGAATAAGCTTATCAACTTTATTTTATATATTATTTTAATTATAATTAACGAATTTTTCTTTATAAAAATAAAAATTTAAAAGAAAATACTTTTTCTTAAACCCCAAATAAGCTCTAATAAAAATAATATTTGTATAGTTATTTTGAATATTAAGAGAGTAATTTAAACAAAACAATGAAATTTTACCTAAACAAAAATAAGTTATATTGCAATCACAAAATATTGAAATAACATCCATTGCTAAGGAATGTAAAGTAGCAAGATAAAGGAATCTGGTACCTTGAAGAAATGGTCCAACGTAATCATGGAATGAACCATTTTATTTCTTTCCCTATTTTATCATACAAAACCAATACCTTAGGACTTAACAGATAAAGTCTTCTCTTCCTATCCTATTAAGTTATTTTTTGTACATTAAATAAAAAATCATATATGGCTTCTCGGCTTTAAGAAAAAACAAACAAACACCTAAAAGCTTGAGTAAAGAAAAAAAGACAACTCGAATTTAAATCTTCATAAATTCAGGAAATCACCTTCATAATTAATCATATAATTAAGAAGGAATACACATGAAATAATAAACCACCATTAAAAGAACATCTAGTTAGCCAAACTATAACCAAATGTTGTTATCTTACAACACCATCCTGCTTTCTACATTCAATAATGTTGTGGCCCTGGTCCTGATTTAAAATTCATCTCATGATCTTGATTACCACCATACCTCATTTGATCATCTCTAAATTCACCCTTTCTAAACGAATTAGGCCTTCCCATAGACGGGTCGGGTCTTCCCATAGACGGGTCGGATCTTCCCATAGACTGTTCCTTGTATGAATTAGGCCTACCCATCATCGGCTCACCATTAGCCGCCACCTTAGCACTTGAAAACCGTTTATCAAATCCAAATTCAATGTCTCCATCTTTCGTTTGAAACGCGTTACGGTTAGGTTTCATTTCTTTCTCTTTGGGCCCGCGAGCAGCGTGCCCATGCTTAGGTGGCTTGGATTTGTTGTGGCGCTTGTTACAGAGTCGCCCAAGAAAACAAGCCACTGCTGACACCACCACTATCACCGCCAGGACGATGAAAACCGCCCCAAATGAACCACCGTCTGACTGGCGGTGTACTGGCGGGCTTGTCTCGGAGACCGGGTACACCAATGGTGTTTGCTCCGGTTGTTGTTGTTCGGACATTTTTTCCGACCAAAAGGGAAGTTTGGGGAAATTGGTGTTCTTTGAGTGCAGGCAAGGTGAGATTGAGGGATAGAAGAATGAAAAATGAGAATAAGAAGGTGGGATATAGCGTTTGATGGGTGGTGGGGTGGGATTTATGTTTTGAATTCAAAAGAAGACGATTGCTTTAATAAAGAGACAGCTAAGTAAAGAAAAATATTCTGAGTTCTTTTGCTGCCTAATAGGTGAGTGGTGGTGGTGTCTAATTTGTTCTTTATTTGCTTTGTTAAGAGAGAAAGCAGATTTTTGGCTCCTTTGAACATTATCTATCTCATTACTCTATTCTAGGTGCCTATTATTCTTAGTACGATTCAATTATTGTGTCTATAAACTTATGTTTGGTTATTTTCACATTGAATGCATGTAAATAGTGTTATGTGTGGTAAATTATTCATCTATAAACATATATCTATAAACATATGTTATTTATTTTTGTATTAAGTGTATCAAGTAATATTGTTTCATGTCTCCTAACATCGTGACAAATTGGGCGACCAGTCAAAATGGCTAATATAAAATATGTTTTATAAATGATACATATGGAAAACATTACTTAAACAAATTGTATTGTTACAATAAAATTCTTTACTTTTTTTAATAAAACAAAATTGAAAAGTGTATGCATTAATTATGATTTTATGTACTAGTTTTCAACCTATTTGATCTGATTTTTTAGCTAACTTTTTTAGTTTGCTAATTTGATTTGTTGAAAATGTATCATAACTTAATAAACTTATTTTGTGGATCTATGGACGAAACTGACACCTCTCATGATTCCTTTTATGTACAATGACATTCGATTCTTTATCATCGCATATGTTGCTGTTTCTATGTCTTTTAACGTGTATAAGAAAATTTTCTCTTTTTCCCGATACTTTTGGTTTCATTTGTCCCCTCCACTCTGCATTAATCCTATCATTTAGTGGGCGCACTTACGAAAAGAAGTAAAAGTACTAGTATTAATTAGTATATTAACAAGTATAATAATTATCTTAGAAGTTAAATCAAATATATTAGGTTATAAATGTTTTTTTTTTCCCAATATAAATGTTTACTTAACGTCCATGTTCCATGTACCATGTTTGTCATTAAAAAAAATTACTACATCTTTTCGTACTTCTTTATGTCTACTTCATTTTCCCTTTTGTGTGCAATAACGTATGACTAGGTAAGTACTGCCTATGTTGATTGTTCATACTTCATACGCAATTTAAAGTGTCAAAAAAATTTCTCTTTATCGAGTTACTTTTGACTATATTTGCCCCCACCTCGTTTATATCTTCTTTTAATGGGGTTAAACAAGTTAAGGTATAATAATAATTGATATTGAGTGTGTGTTAGAATATAGGGGTAGGAAGCGGAGTTTGGTAATCAATCATATGGATATCTCACGGTTGGTGTATGTTTAGTTTTCATATTGATATTTTTCTCTATGTTAGATTCTAATGTGGGATAATCCGTGAAGGTCAATCAAAAGTTTTAGGCACAAAACAATAATATACATGTATGGAGAGTGTACGTATTGTTAGATTTCGTTAGAGAGTTCTAAATAGGTGGAATATGAGTGTATGTCCGAAATTTGGATAAAATCAATAAAAGTTGCAAAATCTATAGTTAGAATATTGTTTCTGAAAAAACTATCCAAGCAACCCGAGCTACATAGCAATATTGCCCAAACTTCTGCTTCGCTTTAAACTACCTTAGGCAACTTGGGTTGTCAAGACAGTTTTGGATGTGAGACAACTTGGCTATTCATGGTTTCAACTTTTAGACAACTTAGTTGTTAGGCAGCTTGAGTTGTTTTTGAGCATGCATAAAATTGTGTTTTTTTTTAACTTTACTGTAATTTGTATATGTTTTTCCACGACACAACACCACCAAAGGGTTTTCCCTTTGCTCTCAGAAGGGGGCACGACCCTCTTGATCCCCGCACGACCCTCTTGATCCCTTGACTTTTATCATGTCTAAGATCAAAAATTTCTTATATACAAGTTTGCACTCCTCCCGACTTATATTAGATCATATTTTAAATCCTCATTTTACCTACACTAGAAAATTATTATATCGTGTAAACTAATATTCCATACCCTTGGTCCAATTCTCACATACCTTTGATATCACCCCAACTTACAAAATAATAATCCAGATTAAAAAAAAATCTAACAAATATGAATAACAACCAAACTCTATCATAAATTGAAAAATTGAAAATATTTAATCTATCAAAAGCTATAGAAATTTAGAAAAACCCAAATATTATATAAATCCCAAACACTTAAAAAAATAATAAACCCTAACCTCTAGCAACATCTGTACCTTGAACCAGTATGCATATTGTTGGTATCACTCTTAATTACCAGTTATAGTTTCTTACTTTGTTGTATATAGTTGTCCTCTCTCTCTCTCTCACTCTCTTTCTCTCTATTATATATATATATATATATATATATATATATATATATATATATATATATATATATATATATATTGTGTGCACATATGGTCCATAGAGTTAGGTTCAAATGTTTTCAACAAGTATTGTGTGCATATATAGACCAATCAGAATTTAAAAAAAAAAAAGAAATCATTAATTAAATAATAAATGGTAGTATAGTCATTATGTATGCACAATTAATTATATTCCAAAATTATAATCTCTAAAATAATAGGTCAAATTCCCTTAAATACAGTTGCCTTTGAATAACCCTAATGTTACATCTCAATAATCCCATCGTATGCCGTCTTCTTCCCATCTTTACTGGCAATTTTCGTCCACGACAACAACCCTCCGTTGATGCCTCGTTTTCGTCGGTCATCCACAAGCCGCCGCTTGAAGTTCACAACCACTCTCGCTGCCATCTAAAAACCCTATCGCACAAACATTCATGATGTATTGAAGAGTTCGTCAACTAAGTTTTCTTAAATTACAGGTAATTTTGATCATTGGGTACTTGATTTGGAAAGATACAATTCAACAGTTTTGGTGTTTGCTGAAAATTGTTTAATAATTTAAATGTTTTGGATATTATAGGCGTCCACTTTATAAATAGACTTGCAAATAGATGAGAAATATATTTATGGTGGTTGTTGACCTTAACGACCAATGATTACAATTATTATCTACATATGACGTTGATTGCTTGAAAGCTTCCATTATTCAAAGTCTATGTAATATGCAAATATTGATTTATGATGAATGAGATACGCTTATATTTTCCAATTAATCAATGATAGGTTAATTTGTTAACCTGATTATTCTGTCAACAATGAAGGATTCCTTGTTACTTGCTTTCTTTTTTATTTTCTAATTATACTGTCAGAATTACTGTAACATTCCAAGTTCGGAAGCAAGAAGTTGAAGGGTGCAAAGTGTAAATTCGAAGAAGGGACTCGACGAGTAGGTACGCTTACTCGCCGAGTCGGAGCGGGTTTGGGTCGCGGATTAAGTGGCCAACTCGTCGAGTCGGCGGCTTGGACTCGACGAGTTGGTGCTGGAATGAGAAAACCCTAATCTCGGGGGTTGCATCCTATTTAAAGGACTTTATATCCTTCTCTCAGCCTCCTTACCACTCTTGAGAGCCTGTAAACCCTAGAAATCGAGTGAGCCTCCATTATTAGAGAGAATAGAGCCTTGGAGGAGGAAATCTTGAAAAGAGGCTTGAAGATCAAGAGGCTTGCTGCAAAGGGTGGTGTAGATCCGGGATCTACTTCAGTTAAAGCTTATATTGGAGGTAATAATCTGTTCCTTGGGCTCTTTTGCATCTAGATCTATTATTGGTTGAGTTTTAGGGTTGATATTAAGTTGGAAAGATGAGCTATGGGCTAGATCTGAGGTTGTAACTTCAGATCTGGACCCTCCTTGGATTCTATAAGCATAAAGTTTCAGTTTTGGCCAGGATTAAGGTCCCTCTTGAGCATGAAGTTTCATTAAGAACTTAAAATAGGCATTTAGAGCCTTTATAGCCATGCATGCACGTAAAGTTTGCAACTTTACGTGATAAGCATGCCCTAGAAGCTTGGATCTGTGATTTGGAGCCGCTGCATGGCTTAAAACAAGTCTGTATGGAAAAGGGACTGAATGGACTCGGCGAGTCGCAAGGGTTGAATCGGCGAGTCACATGAAGATGGCCGTGGACTCGACGAGTTGGATGAACAACTCGGTGAGTCCGATGAAGATTACCATAAGACTCGGCGAGTTGAAGAACAACTCGGCGAGTCGGATGAGTTTTCCCTAGGATATGTATGCGTATGTATTCGTCGAGTTGCAAGGAGGGAACTCGACGGGTGGCCTTAAAGTTTGAACGAGAATCGAAGCAACTCGACGAGTCACCCCGATGACTCGGCGAGTTGGATTGTGCTTCAAGGAACTCGGCGAGTAGCCGAGGGTATTCGGCGAGTTGGGGTCAACATGGACTGTTGACCTTGACTGAGGACTTTGACTTTGACCAGGGGTTGACTAGTGGGTTATGGAGTACCTTATATGGTTAAGGACTTATGAGTATATTACGCTTTGATGTTAGGTGGTGGAGCCTGTTCCAAGTGATTCGAGAGTTGGGTTTTATCTTCCGAGTCGGCAATTGCAGGTGAGTTATCCTCACTATATCGACAGGGTCTACGGCACCAAGGCCGGCCCTTTATCGGATGGAAATCCGGGTAGTGTTTGTTATGTTATTGTTTTGCTAGATCTGTATCCTGGTATTTAGGATGGTGTTATGTTAGTGACCTGGTTAAGGTCGGTACCCGGTATATAGGGTAATGTTATGCTAGTGACCGGTTAGGTCGGAATCCTGGTTAGGATGTTGATATGCTATGTGATCTGTTAGACTGATAGTCTGGTTAAGGATTTGTTAGATTGATTGTTTTATGTGCACATGGTTGTTTGACGGGGGTTGGGTTGAGGCGGGTCCTGCTTTGTGCTGAAGGCCAACATACCCAGGGCGGACCGGATATTCCGAAGGCCC